GTTAACTTAAAAGCTTAGTGGTCATTCAATCCAAAATCTTATTACAATTATTTTTGAATTTTCATGATACCGAACTCGTGCCACGAGAATAGAATCGAGTCTTAGAGGAATACACCACCAACTCAGCTATATCTCAAAAATCAGCTTTATCTCAAAAATCAGCTGTATCTCAAAAATCAGCTATATCTCAAAAATCAGCTGTATCTCAAAAATCAGCTATATCTCAAAAAATCAGTTATTTGCTTCTCTATTATTCTTTCTTTGAGATATTATAAAGAAAACAAATTTATAATCAAAAAAGATTCGTTGCTAATCAACATGAACGTATTTTAGTTCAACGAATCAAGTTCATATTAAATAAGCAAATATATTCATATTTCTTATACTCGATTTTAATAGAAATATTTCCGGAAATGTTTCCGGAAAAATGCCTTTTTTATGGAAAAATAATCCTTTTTTCCCTTTTTTTCTCCTCTGTTTTTTGTTGATTCTAAAATATTCAATTGATTTATATTGTCAATAATACAAATAAAGTGGAATGAAAAATATATGATAATGATTAAAATTAATCAGAATTTAAGATTTCTTTTATTGTATTTGTTGCATTAAAATCATTTTAATAATTATATCATGCAGTAGAATCGCGGAAATTTCGGTCTACAATCGAGGAACGAATAATTCACTCTTTAACTGATGAAGTTGTCGATAAATTTCTGCAAAAATTTGAGAAAATGTGAATGAAATGGTGGCATAAAACTGAAATATACCACTTGAAATTTTTAATTTTTTAACTTTAATAAAAACTTGTATGCAGAAAATAATAATAATAATGAATAATATAATAATATTAATGAAGTACTGCAGGTGTTCAGTGGATTTCGACCTCTTTCTATCTTTAAAGTATTTCTTCATAGTCCTTTAAAATAATTTCTCCGTTAGCTGGCGCAGTCACTCGAGTATATAGATGCAAGTAATTTGCAATATTATCAGCTTTTTTTTGATTTCATTCAAATTGATATCGTTTTAAAAAAATAATGACGCGAGAATAGAATCGAATTCTAGGAGAAATTCAAGATTTCAATTCAATTCTAGGAGAAAATCCAGGAGATTTTTGCAATCAAATGAAATTCTTTGCGATTCAAACACGAACTCACTTCAAATTAAACGGATCAAGTAATATATTATTTAAACAAATGCGTTCATATTTCCTATACTTTTTTCCGGCAGAATTGTTTTTCCGGATGTGAACTGTTCAATTAAAACGAACATTAGCTTTAATTTTATTTGTCCAACCTGTCTTTCATTTCTTTTGCTCTTTTTATTTTCTTATTTGCCCTTATGAATATTTCCGTTTATGAAGAAGAAACTTTTCAATGGCGCATATACACTCATCATTATCATTTGATATTTATCAGGCATTTGAGTTAATCACTTAATTTTACCATAAAATTGAATCCCATTGCTATTTATTTGCTTTAAGATATGCTGTGATATTGTATTGCTACACTGTTTAAAATTGAAAAACCCACTGAAAAATGCCACTTTCGGGTTAGAATTTATTATAAAAATTTAATACTATAATTTCTATGTCAAACTATAATTTTAACTGCGACTATTCAGAGATAGATTCTCTTTTCGAATAAAAGAGAAATAAAACAGAATCGCCTCTTTGGTTCAGTGTACAAGCATTCAGTGTTATTAGTTTTATTAGCTACAGCGAGAAATGATTTAAAAAAAACATCCCCGCCATCCCCAACTAGATACTCCCCAACTAGGCAAGTTGCCACATTATGATCTTGGCAATTCTTGAAAGATGCTGTAGGTCTATATGCAAAATTTTCTTCTCCATCTCTGTCCACACCTTTCGTTCCATAACCTAAAGCAGTAGTAACCATATCATTATCTCCATTAGCAAGGTTCCATAACTATATCAGTAAAAGCAATGAACTGAGCATGATAATCAGTTAAATAATTCGTTTCGAATCTGTAAATTCGGCTTTGCATATTCAGCTTATTTTCCATGTTCAATCACTTTGAAAAAAAATGATCATTTTCCTACTTCAAATCTTCAGCTGCTCAAATACTTTTTTGTTGACATAAATTAAATTACGTTTACATTCGATTGACCATTAATTATATTAATTATCAACGAATATTTTATTTTTTGCCGATATTCCTCCAAAATATTCATTTTTCATAAAATTAAAAATTTTTTATTGTTTTAAATTTTTTTAAAGTTTTTTGAGGAAATTCCGACAAGTGAAATTAGTTTAAAAATTCACCTCAAAGATATGAATTTATTAACGCAACATTTTGAATCTCTAAGGACTATTTATTTTTCGGTTGGTTTAAAATGTTCTTGCTAAAATAGATGTTTAGATTCAGAATAGCTTCAGAAATGGTATTTCTGTTAGTATCATAGTTGTAAAGATGATAGTGATTGCTCATCCAGAAATAGGTAGTTGTGAAAAATGTTTTACGGTTCCTGGATCCACCGAGAATTGTTCATTGTTTTATTGTTTTAAAAGATTATCGAGAAAAAGTGCTTCCGAAAGAGCATGTAGTGAATTCTAAAATTGCTTGTCAAGTCTTTGCCAAGTCTTCCAGATGGGAAAAAGAAAAATGGCATATGTGCTATTTATAACGGTTATTTAAATATAGCACAAAAATTTTATAGTGCAGAACCGTTTCTTTTAGCGAAAAAATGGATTTGGAAAATAGATAAATAGTTAGCCAGTGTTTAACCAATGAAAGTGGAAAAATTGTACCACTGCTGCATTTTGGTACCATTTCTTTCATACTTCTTCTAACTTTTGATGAGTATCATTGATTTACTTTTACATTGAATTTCATTAACTAAAAAAGAATGAATCATAGATTCTTCTATATTCTATAGAAGATAAAATTGACTTGCAACAAATGCAAAAAAACCCCGTAAATTCTCGTTTCATTTTAACCATTCTCATATATTTTTCCATATTGAATTATTATTATTATTATATTATGGATTTTATACATAATATCAATATTAATATATTTTATAAATAAACTAATTGAATGTTTCAGAATTTCAGAAATCAATGAAAAAGCCCTATGGTTAGAAGAGAAGGAAAAGGTGGATTGTTTTCTCATGGAACAAAGCCTTTTTTAATCGAAAAACATTCACGAAAATATCTGCCGGAAACGAGTTGCTTAATATGAACTTGATCGGTGTAATTAAAATGCAGATCGTACCATTTTAATTATAAAATTTTTTTGATCACTTTCAAATATGTCAAAGAAAAAATAATATTGAAAGCAATATTTCTAATAAATTATTAAATTAATGATAAGAAAGTGATATACTCCAATAAGATAAGAATTTGTTTCCATGACAGAAGTAATTTCTTCACCTAACAACTGTCACCATTACTGGTTAGGCTGACTCTTCGTTGGCTATAATAAGTATTAATATTAGTATTATTAGAATAAACTCTAGAAATGTCGATAAGATGTCTCCAAGTTGCTCGGTCCGACGCCATTGCTAGCAGTAATAGAAGCCATTCCTTTTTCCATCGTCTAAATCCATATATCGCTGGGTATCAATCCAAATCTTAACTGGCCCTCCTTTTGATGCCAACCATTACAGGGTTTAGCAAGTAACGTAACGAAATATGCGTCAAATCCTGTGGTGGACAACGGAGAACATGCCCTAACCAGCGAAGGCGACGCTCTGTGATAACATATGGTAAAATGGATACAATCATGTGCGATTTTATCCACTCGACGGATCCGTAAAATATACCTTAGACATGCATGGTCAAAGGCAGATAGCTTCTTAATATCCTTCACTCTCATTGGCCATGGCTCAGAGTAAAATCGAACGAATCACAGACTTTCATTTTTATGGAAATTTTATGACGGTTCCAAAAAGTTTTGTCAGCCGGAAAAATATATTTCTAACTGTCCTTATCCGGGTTTCACCTTTCGCCTGGCCATTTGAAGTTAGAATATATCTAAGGTGTTTAAAGTCGGGCATTTCCTCAATCGGCAATGAATTAATAAAAATAGATGAAATATTTTATTAATATTTAGTAATATTACTGTCTTCATAGATTCCATTTCGTTTATAGCTCTCATCTTTAAGGCTTATTAGGACAAAAAAGTACGGATCCGAGCTTATAGGATCATTGTCTTGTTATCGAAATAAATTCTAGAATTGTCACTAATCTCATTTTTTGCATCACTATTTTACCAAAGGAGTTGACAAGCAAATTTAAGCAGCAGCACTATGAAAACCTTTAAATTAAATGGTTTCTAAAGCAAATGTGGAGTATTTTGGATTGTGTGATTCTTTGTGTTAGCGTAGAATTCAGGAAGATTCCATACTATGAAATTTTGGATTGTGTGATTCTTTGTGTTAGCGTAGAATTCAGGAAGATTCCATACTATGAAATAAATGTTTATCCATATTTTCCAATTTTTAGGTGACTTTCTCATTTTATCGCGTAGAATTTAGCGTATAATTCAGGAAGATTCCATACTATGAAATAAAATGTTTATCCATATTTTCCATTTTTTAGGTGACTTTCAAATAGAATGTTTATGAGATTAGATCTTAAGGCATTCAATAATACTTACTAAAGACTTAAATTGCTGCGGTAATTTGTCGCAAATTAAGAGAAAATCCTCATGAAAAAAAAAAATTCAAAATTGATAACACTGATATTTTCCGATCTCCGATCGTAATTTCCAATTTTTTTCGCTCATTTTATTACTCACTCAACCGATTTCACTTCTCGAAATTTATTTTTCTTCGAAGGAAAAAATGCCATATGCTCTAAATTAAAAATTTACATTTTTAGGAACAATAATCGATTTAAAAAAGGAAAAAAGATTTAAAAAAGAAAAAATGAAAGAAAAATGATTAATGGATAACTGATATCATTATCATTATTAATTGCATAACAATTGATTTCAGCTGAATATACGTCGGAAATTTTTTAACAACATCGTTATGAAAAACAAATAAAAATTGTCTATAAAAAAAAAATTTCGGAAATAGTTTATAATAAATAGTTTTAATTTATGGTGAGCATGCTCGCTTCTTTGCTTGTCCTTGCATCATTATGCTATTCATCTAACGGCGGTAATACCCCTATAAACGTTTGTTTTATCTCTTACCTACTCAGGCAAATGCTGCTGTAGTGAGGCCTTCAGTACCTGTCGCGAACTGCCAAGATCGTGATGCGGCAGCTTGTTACGAAATATTTAAACCTGATAATCCTGGGGTGACATTCGCCAATAACCTTATGCCGTGAGTTTCTTGTCATGTAAATTTTATTTCATATTCATTTCGATAAGAATATATCTCTATATTGAAGAATCCACTTATAATCCTTTAAACCATTGTTTATAGAATAATAATCGAGGAATTTGCTGAATTTTGACGATGGAAATAAAAATTTATTTAAAATGATGCTGGAAATTTTCTTCTGATTTGAAAATTTTTCGATATTTATTATAATAATTTTTTCTCGCTTAAAATAGCCAAAATTATATTACAAATTTTAATTTCATTTTCTTGCGCCAAATAAGCCATTTCTCTTAATTTTATGGCAGATAGGCAACTTTTTATCGAAACATGAAAAAAAAAATGTAGCTTAAGTTAATTCTTAATTTTTCTTAATTTTTCAACCGTCTACTGCTACTGCTCTAAGCATTTCCATGAAAAAATTTCCAACCATAGCTAAAAATATGAAGGGGACAGAATTTTATAAAGTTTTAAATAATTGCAGTAATCAGAATTATCAGGTCCTAGACAAATGTCAACAGGAGCCCTATATAATGTTAGCTCGACAAATGTGCCCATGGATGTGCGCGACTTGTTGCATGACTAAGGAATATAACTGTGAAAATGGTAAAGTTTCAATAAATATTCTCCCTGGCATACTAAGGAATGCTGATTGATTGTATAATAATGAGGAAGAGAGGAAGATTTGTGCTGAATCCTCCATTAATCTAAATTTCAGTTGGAGGTCGGGACGGTGCATGCAGAAATTTTTCAAGAGCAATGTGTTCTCAATTCCCAAGTCTTGCATTACGACTTTGCCCGCAAACTTGCGGCCTTTGTCATTTACCTGCCGCTGCAAATATGTGTCCCGATACCATCGACGATTGTGATGTTTTGGTGCGATTGGGCATTTGTTTTGACAACAAATTGAAAAATATGTGCCAAAGAACGTGCGGGTCGCTCGACTGTTTAGCAAGTAATTCCTAATATTTTTTTAAAAAAATTCAAAATGATAGGAACGAATTGCAAAACTGAAGGCCATAAATATTTTATATGTTTCAGCAACGACTTTACCATCTTCAGCGGCGACATGCAGAGATGCAAGACAGCATTGTGCAGCAATTAGAGCTGC